ATTTGCCGTACGACAAATGCAATACTGGGCGTAAGTTCGTCCCGTTTTTAAACATTCGCGCACTTTGAAAACACATTAAGAGTATACTTAAAATGATCGTCAATATAACAACGGACTACGAATACTGGCCATAGTACGAACCTGAAGCGGATCACGTGTTCAGTGACGTAACACACGCGTGCGTACGCGGGTCCGTCTGGAGATTCGCTCCTCCAATTCGCGCAGCACTGAGCGGAAAAAGAAGCATCGATTTGCAACAACTGCGCGAGTCAAATTCGCGTCGCCGTTTATTCATTTCTGCCCTCGACCGCGGAGTCATTCAACTAACGTTGTAGTAATTTTATCTGAGGTCCGCAGAATACAAATGGCACATACGGTTCCATTTTTTTTATTGTATATCACTTTTATAGTTTTACAAACCACAGGTTATCGTGATTGATCTTGATTATTTTTATGCGTATATCCCTTTGTCGAGGTGTTGTTGCAAAATGGTGCTGCACATCCACCCATTTTTGCAACAAACAGCAAATTCACACTGTTATCAAACTTCATGCGATGTACAACGATTATATTTTAGGTTACGTCTCGATCTGATGGCAGCTTAAAGAGAGAGTGAGATATTCGTACTTCTCTCTCTCTCTCTCTCTCTCTCTCTCTCTCTCGTTGGATTTGACTAAACATGGCAGACAACTCTGTTGGCCAGACTCTGATTAAGCCCGTATCAGACTACGGATTGAGATTGGGATTAGATTAAAATTTGACCAATCAGAGTAAAAGTTACTGAACTTGAGATTAGTAAACTTTACTGTGATTGGTTAAATTTCAATCTAATCCCAATCCCAATCCGTAGTCTGATACGGGCTTTAAAAAGATTGAAATTTAACCAATCACAGTAAAGTTTACTAATCTCAAGTTCAGTAACTTTTACTCTGATTGGTCAAATTTTAATCTAATCCCAATCTCAATCCGTAGTCTGATACGGGCTTTAGAGGGTCTCTAGTTAGCAGTTGACCGACGCGCGACGTTTGTGTAACTGGCCCTAAAACCCTTATCAGATTACGGAATGAGATTTAGATTAGATAAAAATTAAACCAATTAGTGTGTAAGGCCAGTATTCATAGTCAGATCTTATATTCAAGACTGTCTTAAGATTATCTTTAGATACTCCACAGCCAATGAAATGTCCCATACAGCATCTTTATGCTGTATTAGACAAATTCTAGACGGTCTTGACTATAAGATACGACTATGAATACAGTAAAAAAATCGCTAAACTTGAGATAAGTAAATCGTAAGCCCGTATTAGGCTACGGATTATGAGATTAGATTGAAATTTGACCGATCGGCTCGAGGATTGCGAATTGGAGATTAGAATTCAAGCAACGAGAAACAAGAAACAAATAAAAATTAACAAACCTATCCGATTGGTCGAGATCCAAGCTCACGCGCAATTCGCGGCTCTCACGATCGGACTTCAATCCGATATCGCAAATCGCGACGCGAGTCGCCCCCATTGAGCGATTCTTCCACCGGACCGGCCCATAGGAATATTCTACGCTCGGAATCGGCCAATCGGCGATGAAAACGGCCGTGCCCGAGAGATCCGCCCGGCCGCCAAAAGTCCCAGGGAGGAAATCGCGGGAATGGCGAGGTGGCGCGCGCGGCGCGGCGGCGCGCCACCTCCCGCCGGCTCACGTGACCGTCCCGGCGCCGCGGCGATTGGTCGGCCATTCGTCATTTAAACCGACGGAGCCGTTGCACGTTGTCCGCGACGGTGTGCGAGGAAGCAGGCGGTTTGAACAGAAGTACGGCGAGCAGCGAGTCCCGCGGGTGTCCTGCAGTGCGGTAGCGTGGCGCGCTCACGGCCGCTCTCTCTCTCTCTCTCTCTCTTCTTTTTCTTCCCCTTTTCGCTCCCCGGTTCACGCGGGCGCGCGCGCGGCAAGACGCTCGCGGCGTGATACAGCGGACGGTGCGCGTCGAGCGACGGTGCGTACGCGCGCGAATCCCCTCGCCGGCCGGTCAACGGCGAGCTCTCGTGGGTGAGGCAGACACGCCGGGCTCACGGCGGCGACCACGACGCCGGTCACGACGGGACGTCAGACGGAGAGCGACTGCGACACGACTGGCACCGACTTCGTCGGACGGAGCATCATCGGACGACAGCGGGTCCACTTATCACTGCCACTGCCACTGCCATTGCGCGATGTCGAACGAGGAGGAGAACGCCATACCGAGCGTGATACACGACTCGAACACCGGCAAGAGTTACATGAAGGGCCGGTTCTTCGGGAAGGTAAGGCGACGACGGTGCGCGCGCGCGACCTTGAGCCCCCTCGTCTTCGTCCTGACCTTGCGCAGTCACGCTCCTCGCGTTAACGTTCCTTGCGACTCTTTTTTTTCTCTCTCTCTCTGTCTCTCTCTCTCTCTCTCTCGCCCGCCGCCGCCGACGTGTGTTGATGCACACGCGCGATCCCTCGGCGCCCGACACTTGTTGCACTCGCGCCAAGGGCGCGTCTTCTTGCGCGAGAAGACGCCCGGCGCGACTTGCAACTGCGAGAGGAGGAGCTCGCGAGAATTTCAGGGATATTTGGGCTTTGACCTGCGACAACGCGTCGCTCCTGGCGACGCGGACGATCAGCTCGGCTCGTCTTACTTCGTGTCTTTCTTTCTTGTTCTGAGAATTGTAGGGAGATGAGGAGCGAGTGGAAGAAATCTGCATTGGCGAAAGCGGATTTCTCCTCGGGGGCTCTCGGAGACATTTGTGTGTCGCAAGTCTGCCGGCAATATGACTCGCGCCCATCCCTGCCGGCGCGGATGAACTTTAATCTTGGTTTATGCTACCTTTTATCTTTCGCCAAGAAGAGGAAGGAGATGAGAAAACCTAAGAAAATTAATAACAATGGCTCGTATGATAAAAATCGAAGTAATCGCAGAAGGGGCTTACAGAGCCTAGGCAGGGTTGTAGTGACAAAAAATTGTTTAATTGAAATATAAAGAGAATAGACGTTTCGGTCCTAACTGGACCATCTTCCGTATATAAAAAAAAAACAAATTGACGCATGATAGATAACAGAATACAATTAATAAAATTTGTATGGCTCAAATGTGACAAACACAAATTTGAAGGAATAAAGGACTAAGAGCCGCGACGGGGTGTCGGTGCCTAAATATTTTATTCCAAATTTATTGCGAAAAAAATAATGCGAATAAAAACTGAGGCGGGCGCCTCAACCAATTCGACCGCCGAGGCATGTGGCAATATTCATCGCAACAAACAGTCTAATGTCGATTCCCGAGTGCCACCTGGGGCGACACGTTTTTCGCAACGAATTTAGAATAAAATATTTAGACGCCGACACCCCCTGTCGCGGCTCTCAGTCCTTTATTCCTTCAAATTTGAGAATACAATTGATACAAGAAATTACGCAGTGGTGTAAAACGTGAAAAAGTAGAACACAAGTGTGTGTAGTAAGTTTTAAACGAAAGCTGTGACAATTGAAAGAATAATAAAAATCCGTGCCACGTAGAACAGAGAAAGAAAAGGAAAAGAGACAACTACTTGGAATAGTGTTGACCAGTATCGATGACGTTACCAAAATGAGGGATAAAGGGTAAATAACAAGGATGGGAGTGTATTGAGAGGAAGAAGAGGGGACAAACAAAAGCGGAAAGGAGACAGGAATAACGAAATTAATGTGAGGGGGGAGGAAGCAAGTTCAAAATAGGGAGACATTCAACTGCCAACAGGTCTGTATCGGTATGTTTATTTAAGGGGAGCAATTTGGCGTTGTGACGTGTACCATCTCTGACACGAGCCTTTCTTTTTTTGTAGGAAGATTCTTCATCAAGAATACGCGACACTGTCCCAATCGAACTCGAACGATTCGAATCCATTCTGCGACAAGACATGACAGAAGGGGACGGTGAAGTTTTATTTGTATCCGCGCAACGCTCCTTTAGCCTGATTTCAAGCTGTGCCTTGGTCCGTCCCACATATGTGGCCACGCAATTCTCACATGAAATTCCGTAGACCGCATCGTTATGAGACAATCGAGTTTATCTTTTTTTTTTACAACGACGAATTGCTGTAATGGATGGTGGCAGGAATAGGCAGTTTTCGCTCAATTTTTTTCATATTTCATATCACTGACTGCGTAATTTCTTGTATTGTATTCTGTTATCTACCAGGCGTTAATTTGTCTCTCTTTTTTATACATACTGAAGATGGTCCAGTTCGGACCGAAACGTCTATCCTCTTTATATATTAATTAAACATTTTTTTGACGCTACAACCCTGTCTAGGCTCTGAGCCCCTTCTGCGATTACTTCGATCTAAGAAAAGATAAAAAGTAAGACAGACCGAGATTGATCTACTTTACAAAAAAAAGTGGGATCCAGAAACCTCCCAAACAACACGCATGTCTAAGAGAGACATCTTTAAGGCGTCTTTAAGTCGACTTTTAGACATGCATGCTGTATGGGTTGGGAGCCTTCGTTAAGCATCAGCCTTTTCCTCCCGCTTTCTCACAGTTGTCTTTCATCCGCTCCCATGTTCGTTGCTTCACAGGGTGGCTTTGCAAAATGTTACGAGATTACCGAGTCCAAGTCGCACCACGTGTTCGCCGGGAAAATCGTGCCGAAGTCACTGATGGTAAAGAGCAATCAGCGAGAGAAGATATCGCAGGAGATTGCGATTCACCAGAGCCTGAGTCACAGACACATCGTTGGCTTCCACGGCTTCTTCGACGATACCAATAATATTTACATCATCCTGGAGCTCTGTCGCAAGAGGGTAAGCGCTCGCGGCCGGTGGCTGCTCCGATCGTCCGACGATCTTGCAATTTTGTCTTGACGTTCTAGTCGATGATGGAACTGCACAAACGCAGAAAGGCGCTGTCGGAGTGCGAGACGCGGTACTTCATGAAGCAAATCTTGGATGGAGTTTTCTACCTGCATCAGCACAAGATAATTCACAGGGACTTGAAGTTAGGCAATCTGTTTTTGAACGACGATTTGCAAGTCAAGATCGGTGATTTCGGGTTGGCGACCAAACTGGAGCACGACGGCGAACGGAAAAAGTAACTGTCAGCTTAAATACACCGCGATGTACTCGACGAATGTGATCGTCCTCTGTGTCTAGTGCCATGAATTATTTCAATTATACTTCATTACTGAGAATTCTATCTTTAAATCTGAATGTAAGCTCGGCTTTACTTCAAATTTATACTGCGACATAAAGCTTTGTAAACTCTGTCGGACAAACAATTGGTTTTATTAGTTACGAACCAAACTTTGGCGCACTATTTGACTAATTTGTGAATCTTCCAACAGGACTGTCTGCGGTACTCCGAATTACATCGCACCGGAGGTGCTCACGAAGATCGGACACTCGTACGAGGCTGATATATGGAGTATCGGTTGCATAATGTATACTCTACTTGTAGGCAAGCCGCCTTTCGAAACGTCGAGCCTGAGGGAGACATATTCCAGGATCAAACAAGTACAGTACAAGACACCGCAACATATTAGCAAACCTGCCATGAACATGGTGGCGAACATGTTGCAATTGAATCCCTCAAAACGTCCGTCCGTTGTCAAACTCATGAAGGATATCTTTTTTACTTCCGGTAAGAGTATTGGGAAAAAAAGTGGAATCGTTCAGTAGTCATTTTTTCCCTTGCAAAGTGATTCTATTCGATTATAGATTATATAAGCAGCTTTAATTAATGTTCTCGTTTAATAATTGCAGGATACATGCCGACGAGTCTGCCGCTCTCGTGTCTGACAATGGCACCACGTTTGGACATGCTCGAGTCGCACTGCAATCGCAAACCGCTGGGCGAGATGAACCTTAACGGCTACTCGGAGCAGGAGATACTCGCCCGAGTGCCGAACAGTCCATCGCGAAAGGCCAAGCCTAACGAAATCATTGAACCACAAAGAGTTACCCTCGACATCAGAAAGATGCTTCAAACGTTGAAAGAACAAATAGCTACTGTGTTGATAGCTAGACCTGCTAGGGAGACAGCTTCCTCAGCAGGTAAGATAGCGAAAATATTAAATACGGTTCTGCTTCGTTTTCTTCTTAAAATATGCATTCTACGTACACTATAATAGTCTACTATCGAGAATAACCTGGTTTACTCAACCAATTCTTTTTGTCTGGAAAATTAGTAAATCAATAAAATTCATTTCAATAAAAAGATATGTACACACATTTTTTCCAGCTATATTGTGATTAAATTTAATATTGAGTTGCAAATAACTGGGATTATATAATTGGGAAATACAATTGCTATATTCAGTATTGCTGTATAATGTTATAAAAATGTCCTCTTCGGAAATTTGCAGACGAATTGACTGATCCGGCGGCGCAGCCTGTGATTTGGATCAGCAAGTGGGTGGACTACTCGGATAAGTACGGCTTCGGGTACCAATTGTCCGATGATAGCGTCGGCGTGATGTACAACGATGGCACGCGGTTGATCATGATGGCGAATGGCTACAACATTCACTACATCAATCGCGAGGGCGATGAGTTGTACCACACGGTTAAGGAGTATCCGAGTCATCTCGAGAAGAAAATGAAACTGATGAACTTCTTTTTGAAATATATGAACGAGCACCTGATGAAGGCGGGCGGTTCTATCGCGTTGAAACAAAGTGACTCCCTCTCTAGAATACCTTACATACACCAGTGGTTCAGAACTCAATCAGCCGTGGTGATGCAACTGACTAATGGCACAGTGCAAGTAAGTTGAGCCAACGGCACACGATACCCATTTTTCCTGCTGGATTGCTTACGACAGCCAATTAAGATTTAACCGTAAATCACCTGATCTAAAACTCTGCGTCCTTATTGGTTCTCGTAAGCAGCTGTCTCGAAAGTTATATGACGCATGTATGTGCGTGTCTGTATATAATTCTTCATTCTTTCTAAAATAAATTACATTCTTGTACATATTACGATATCGTACACTTTCACTTCAAACTTTTTTGATCAGCCTCTTTATAATTCGAAATGTATTCGAGATGAGTCAGAATCCGTAAACTTTATGAATTAATTATTTTCTATCTTTAGACATCCCCTATATGGTTACATGTGTTATTGTTATCTTAATTTAAAAAAAATTGTATTAGTCTTAAGTTTCTTTGCTTTTTCTAGGCTCTTTTTATAATTTTGCAACACTATGTTAACTTATGCTTTGTGTAAATTTATTTATTTTTATCTGTTTTAATACACTTTGAATAATGAGAAAATATAATTTGTATTTAGTAGCACTTTTTTATTGTTACGTTATTGGAAGTATTGTTTGCTATGTTGCTTTTAAAGTGAGACGCGACCGCGTATTATTAACAATCAAGTAAACAGTAAGTGCCAATAAACGGCCAGGGTGGATATTCCGTCCCTAACAATAGATTTACGCATAAATTTATAATAAGTTTACGAAGCAAAGAATACACGTAAGTTTACGCGTAAAAATATTAGGCACAAAAGATCCTGCCTGACCGTTGATTTCCTACTCGCTTGATTATGTTGGTTTTGTTTAATAAAATTATCTATTTACTTCTCAGATCAACTTCCTGGACCACGCAAAGATCATCATGTGCCCGTTGATGGCGGCAGTCACCTATATCGATCATGACAAGAACTTCAAGACTTACAGATTCCAGACCATTCAGGAGAGTGGTTGTTGCAAGGGATTGGCGGACAATCTGATGTACGCGTACGAGAAGATCAAGCTGATGCTGTCAAATTCTCAGGCCCGATAAAGTCACACCAGGGAGAGAAAGGAAGAAAAGTAGCGAGTGCCGCGCCTCTCTTGGCACTATATATTTAGAGCAACGCGACATATGTATTTATTTTCTAATAGCGCTGTCTTTGTAGCGAAAGGGAGAGAAAGAGAAACGGGTGAATGGAGGCTGCGATCTTGCATGATTTTCCCTCTTCCTTTGCTCGATTTTTATACAGGCGTATAGAATTTTGCTAGGCAATCTTTTTTTCTTTCTTTTTTTTATCATTTACGAAAGAGAGAGAGAGGACCCCAATCGTACAACGTAGGCGAACCGTTTCGCGACAAGGCAATTCCATCGTCACTACATATTACCGTTAATTGGTCGGATGTCAATAATCTGCTATTTATTTCCATAGATAGTGCTGGAACCGAAATATCTAAAATCTCAGTTAACTTTAACCCAGGTCTACGAAAGCTCTGAAACTCTCTTATTTAAATATATCCACTTTAGCCTCCGGCCTAGTTTCCTATTGCCTTCCCCTTAGAGATCTCGCGAGACTCCGCATCTTCGTTGATCCGATCCAACGACCATTTAGAAGGTATTTTGCTCTGACTTTGCAAGTAAATCAGATTCGATTAAGAGATGCTGCGCTGCGTTTATCGCAAAGAAAAAAAAACAATGGAAGAGGAGCGGGGCGTAAGAGTAATCGTGATTCGACTGAGTGGTGCAATCTAATGTCTGAATTCGTTGTCGTAGCTGAGATGAGCGACCTGCAAGAGCTAGTCCTCTGACCGACTGTTTGTTTCTCGCTTCCCAAGATTCGCTGAAGTCGCTCGTGAAACTCTTTCGAAGCAGTGCTACTCGGGAGTCACGAGCGATTGTTAATCTTGGAACAATAGTTGTTAATTTCTAAAGTTCTAGTAACAACGGCGAGCAGACTTACGCGCGTTTATCGAAGAGCATGTTTGTTCGAGATGTGAGACTGTTCCAAACAAAACTTTATAACGACTTATAACGACTTGCTTAAGACTTAATTGTTTCAGTTGTGACGTATTAATAGTCGAAAAGTATGTTACCCATTCTAAGGAATACAGAAGTACGAATAAGAAATGACGATTAAATAAATTACATCGTGATTATTTCTTTTGCTTTCTCACTATTTCATTTGTATAGACATTTCACGGTATCCGACAAGGTTGTTTCTCCTCCATGTTTATTTTTCGTGTACAAGACGGGAAACTTTGGGATTTTGTATTTTGGAAAATTAGATCTTGCAAGTTTTACTCTCTTTGGCAACAACGTGTAGCTTCAGTTAAAAAATATGTGACGAGTCTCTCTGTGAAGAGACTCGAAATTTATTTCATAGAAATTACCTTGATAGCGAGAATTAAGTATAAATAAACTGCCGTTATTTCTGTGAAGCTTACAAAGACTTTTTAAGATGTCGATACGATAAATCGCGGTTGTTCGGCTAGAAATTTCGTAGAATCGAAACAGTGAAAAAGAGACTTAATAGACTTTCTGTCGAGAAATTCAACGAGAAACTTGTGATTTCTCGCACTGCTTCGACCGGTTAAGAAATATTACGAAGGAGAACGAAGTCAATTGTATCGAGCTACTTTGTATATGAAGACTATTTCTGATAGGGACGTCGATACAAAAATTTATATTTTTTATACAGCAAAATTGACCACAGTATGTTAATTAAATCGAGCGCGGTGTGTGTAGTGTAAGATCCTCTTTTGTAATATTAGATTGTTATAGATAATACATCGATTTTTATATAACTATTGTAACATTAAATCCTTACGAGAGTTCCCGAACTTTTTCTCAGCACAATCCCGAGTTTTATTAAGAATCAAGGTAGCTAAACGGTGGGTTTTAACCGATAGAAATCGCAGGGACTGGAGAACGATTGGGAAGCCTTGAAAGAATGAAGATTCAAAGCACTCGCGGATCTCACGGCGCAGAGTTTACGAATCGAGTATTTAATTAGCCCGAGAGTTTTAGCGGATCCCCTGAATGATTCGACAAGCCGATAATTTCACGACCAGGAGATCGAGATTGTAACGTTTCGCGTCGAGAGAACGAGGGAAACTTTCGTAAAGATTTGATGTAACTGTAATGATGACTCTTTTGAAGAGACTGGATGAGAGAAGGAGCATAGGTTTTTCATATAACGAAATTGATTTAAGTATAATAGCGGGGGGACGATAACACGTAGTCATTAAGTGCCACTCGGAAGAAACAATATTAGCTTAGCGAATGATGTTACGTTATGTTAAGTTAGGTATATACAAGAGATGCGAGGAACAATTATAGATAATTAGGTAATACGTTATCAAATTACAATTAGTGCATGTACATAAAAAGAATAGGTAAATATGCCAAGGTGAATGGTTGCGCTCATAGGCGGAAAGTAGTTTACGTTTAGACAAGAATTATTAAAATATTTTTACGATGCGTCAATATACTTATAACGCTGTTTTGAAAAAGAGTACGGTATAGAAATAAAACTGTTTTTTCTTTTTTTAAATGCAACTCGCTCTTTGCGCGCGGACTACTTTCAAATAGAACGAACGTGACGCTCACGCCGGCTTGGTTCGGCGATCGACCTGACGACGGACTTTTAAATATTTCGAGCGAGTGGGTAATCCCCCTGACGTCTAGACGTCACGACTCTGTCAGTCGTCGATTGTAAAACGGCCTACGTCGGAGCCAAGGTTCCTCGAGTAAAAGTTTGTACACGTATTTTTATATTTTAATGTTTTTCTTCTATTTACTTATATTAAATTTTGGCTTTCCAGCTTTCGCGGCTGCTGTCTTCTTCAGTCGTAATGGTTTCCGGATGGTTGCCGCGGCCGTTTGCAGTGTGATTTGATCGTCAGGGCTGGGAGACTCTGATACTGAGCTCCCTCGAGTTGCGGTGGTCTTTAAGTTAAATTTATTTATTCGTTCGCCAACTCTCGGAGGAAAGAGGCGACCCACCGAGGGGACTATCGTACTGCGATAAACAGGAAGTCGAAAGTCTGATCCCCCTGTTCTTCATCAGACTCAGATACCGATCGTTCGCTCCCGCGGCTGAATTTCAAGTGATTTAAAAGACCCCCTCTTTTGGGCGCGCGAACACTTAAAAGTCGGAAGGTGTCGACACGCAAGGACCTGAGCGGGAAGATTGTCGTAACCGTTCACGATTCTGTCGTAAGCCTCAAGTCGGCGTCGGAAGTGAACGGCACAAGGAATCGTAGACGTATGCCGCATTCGTCGCATCGCAAGGCAACATACGTCTACGACAATTCTCAGGACAAAGATTTCAAACATAAAACGTCTCAAGAGTACAAGACAGCCATTCTGTTCGGGCCCTTGCGAAGACAACCAAGACTGTCAGACGAAGGAAAAAAAGAAGTTTCTAAAGCAATTGTTGGATCTCTCTCTCTATGTCTCTCTCACTCAGGAGCGTAGCATAGAAAGCCCGAAAACGGCGGTCGATAACGTCCGGAGTCGCGCGGCTCCACGGAGCCAGCGGGGCGCGGAGTTGTCGGCCGTCGGATTTTCTTCCGTGAAATCGCGGGCGGGGTGGTGGGGGCTGGGGAGGAGGGATCACGTGCCGCGCCGGGGTTAACCAATGAGACATGCACTCCACAGTCTCAGTCGAGTAACGGCCCTTGGTTGGAGTGGACGTCGTCGTCGTCGTCGTCGTCGTCGTCGTCGGAGTTGTCGGTCACACTTAACGAATCGGGACGCGCTATGGAGTCCTGATAGTGCACGAGGGCACCCTCGTCCGAAGGCAGCAAAGTAGTTCTCAACCTTCAGGTGAGTCGCCGGCGCGAAGCACGGGTGGTTAAAGCCCGCTCGGCTCCGATTCGGGTTACATAAAAGGCGTGCACGTTTTTCGATGACGTCTCTGTCTGTGTCTCTCGCTCGCTCTCTCCTCTGGCCGCGGCGGCGCGGCGGCGAGGGAAACCGGGACGCTCGTGATTTTGAAAGAAATCGCGTTAGTGACGCAGGAACGAGCCTCTGACCTTTTCGCGACAGGTATAATAGATACATCAACTGAAAATAATCCTCTCTGGTTTCCTCATTACTTCTCGAGTTTGGAAGTACTTGGGTCTCACAATTTCTTATCAGTTTGTTGTCTCACTTCCGTAATATAGATATAGTATATATATTTATTTTACTTCAGCTTACAGCCAAGAAGTGGACTTGGTTTACAATAGTTCTTGACTCATTCACTCCTGCATACTTTACTCTATTCCTCCCCTATTTCTTCTTTACGTATCGTGACTAGTTTATATTGCTTATTTATTATTTACATTTCTTTTCCTCCTTCCTCCTGTACCCTCTCCTCCTTTTCTTTTCCTTAAACTTCGCAACCTGCATTCTCTTTCTATCCATAGCTTCCTAATAGTGTTCCCTTTTTCCTTATCTAATTCGTCGCTCCATATCTTATCCCTTATTTCTTTACTGTTTTTCCCTAATTTCTTCTCACTTCCGTAATATAAATGTAACGTATATTGAGTACATAGAGAAAAGTGCCCTATTATGAGATACGCTCCTAATATGAGATGGGGGGGGGGTCTACTGCGAGTAAATTAACAGCAGGGTTGGGAGGTAACTCAACTCTAACTTAACTGTGTTATTTTTCTCCGTCTGCAACTGTAGCTTAACTCAATTGCGTTTTTTTCGATAACTACAATAGTGACTAATTTAATTAGTTACTAAATGACCGGAGGAAATCTTCTAAGTCGCCAGAAGTAATTAAAAACTTCAGAAGTGACCGTGTCAATTTCTGACGTCGTGTTCTGTCGTTCGTGAAATTAAAATCAGTTCTTTTGATTCACCATGCGGCTTTACTGGCACAATTATCACTTGAAAAGGGCCACAAACCATGGTCGGAACGTTGCGAGTTTAAACATAAAAATTTGCCAGACACGGTCACGTAATCTTCTGAATCTCCGAATAATCTTCTGACGTTTTTAATTAGTTTTATTGATAGTTACTTTATATCTATGCAGGGTTGGAAAGTTACTTCATAAAAGTATCTAGTTACAGTTTTTTCGCTAAAAACGTAACTAGCTACAGTTACAAGTTACCAATTCTGAAAAGCAACGCGTTACAGTTACAGTGACTCATGAAGTAACAAATCGTGACTTCGCAGTTACTTACTTGCAATAAAAATAAAAATATCAATATTGCGCGTAAACGCCTTGATCGACAATTTTACAATTCAAACGGCGGATTACATTTTTTATTTTCATCGCAAGGAGGTAACTGCGAAGCAACGATTCGTTGCTTTTCGAGTAACTGGTAATGCGTTGCTTTTCAGAATTGGAAACTTGTAACTGTAACTAGACGCTTTTGTAAAGTAACTTTTCCGGCCCTGATTAATCGACATCACTCGTTGGTTTTATCATGAAATTGATTGCTCGTGGAATGAAGTTTGTTCAATGGTAAATTCATTGTTAGATCGTGCAATCGTTGCGAAAGAAGATTTGTAATTGAATTTGGATGTTGAGCACCCGCTGTCTCGTATTGGAAGCCTATCTCATAATAATGGACTTTCATTTAACAATGTGGTGCAATAGATTGTGAATACGTCGATACGTGTGTGTGGTATGAATATGAATATGAGCCCAGTGAGAGCTCTGACGTCGAGTCGACGTCAGCGGGGTCGAAACCGCGTCCCAACCGTCAGTTTTCAAAAATAATTAAGAGCTTTGGAACTTAATTTTTTTGTATTAAGTTAACCTGGCGGTTTTCTCCAATAAGATGTTAAAAGTACGTGGTAATTTAATAAAAAAAAAAGGTTCCAAACTTAACAATGAATTTTCCGCTAAACAGGCTTCACTCCAGGCAATAAGTTCACGATAAATCAACAGATGATGCCTGTTAATTCAGCAGAAACTCCGCTATCTCGCATTAGGAGCCTGTCGCATAATAGAGGGCTCTCTTTTATGTATTACGTGTACGTATATTTTGTACACATGCAGGGTGAGTTTGATTTCGTGAACCAGTCTTTTACTATAAGAGGGTGGATTACCGAGAGAAATTGTAGCCAACTCTGGAAAAGATGGAAACAATCTCGTCATGTATGTTTCAATCATGTAATATGTTACAAGATATAATTGGATATTACATGAACGAAACATATATAACTAGATTTTCCATTTTTTTCCCAAGTTGGCTACAGTTTCGGTCGGTGACTCTGGGGGGAAAAAAAGACAGTCAGCAACCCCCTGGGTGGGCCCCAAAATGGGTTGCTGTCTTTCTTTCCCCCAGAGAATCCACATCTCATGGGAAAAGACTGGTTCACGAAATAAAACTCACCCTGTATGTGCGAGATTTTAGGGAGTTATCGCCTCGCTTTGTGATTGCTTCACAACTTCTGTTCGCATAAAAATGCTTGTCGCATGATTTTACTTTCGAGGCAAAAATAGAAAAATGTTCGATCGGCTGTAACTCGAAAACAGAGCGTTTCTGTCTACGAGCTGTCTTCGTCGTTTTGATCAGAGGAATACGCCTACAATCCTGTACACCAATGCCCACTAATGCCCAGTGGGCATTACTTTATCTTATTATCTCTTAAGATCATACTAAATTAATTTATCTTATCATCTTATTTTTATCTTTAGAATGCTCAGCAAGGCCTAATGCCCAAACTAATGCCCGAAAAAAATGCCTAGTAATGCCCAGTAATGCCGCAAATCTGTACACCACAATGCCCTCAGCGGTTTCGCTCTCGGCGAAATCAAACCGAGTCGCCGAATCTCAGAGTCACGCGTGATCCGAATCCGAAAACGGACCCGAGGAATTCTCGAGGATAACGTCAGAAAGGAGGACGTGTCCCTGAGGTTCAAGGCACTCGGTCACCCTAGCCGAACCGCGACCGCCGCCGCCGCCGCCGCCGTCGTCTGTTACAGTGTTACATAACGATTACGCTCTTATCACTGCATGCGTTTCGCGCTGTCACCACGCGTCTCGTATATCTCGTGTCAGCGCGTAAATCGCGGGAATCCCGCTCTTTTGTCGAGTCACCTCGATCATTAGTTTCGTCTAGCTGACACGAACCGCTTGAGCGAACGTGAGGCTCTGCGCACAATAGAGGGAATATTAGGAGACTTAAGGAATACTGGGGAGAACAGGAATATTGAATGTTAAAAGAGAGAAGAAAAAGGAGAGATTAAATACGACGCACAGTAAAAGAGCGAATAAGATTCGAGATAAACGTGGGAATTGTTCGTACCCCTGCGAGAAATAACTCGTCGGTCGATGGCGAAACGATGTCGGATTATTTCTCACCGGGACATACGCACTTACAGAAAAAATTTCCGGATCCATTGCTGTTACACTTGAATGTATCATAAAATAGGATCGACACAGCGCCAATCATATTTATTACAGAGAAAGGAATATTTTGATCTTAAATGAAAAATTCTAAAATCTGGAATAAAATGATAGTAAGTATGTGTCGTCTTTTGTCGATTATTTTGTCGCGGGCCAACTTCGGGCGTTGCAAGACGGAGGGAAAAATTTATTCTAAACGCAAGAATACCTAAACTTACATTTACATGAGTTTGTCTCAATATAGTAAGTCAATTTTTTTTAATTCGATAGAGGAGAATAAGAATTATTGATTTTATTTTGACATCGTCTTATTTTTATACTAAACGAGGTTGTGAAAAATGCGTCAAAAGTATTTTTGTCTCAATAACAGAAATTCTTTCTGAGGGTGCAGTCATAATACAAAAT